GGGTGCGACCAGAGTCACGGAACGAATTAAGTTCGTAAACCGAGGTTCCACTGTAATGACAGTTGCCAAACATTGCTACTGTATGTAGTAGTTAGAGTAGCCTTCTGAAAGAAAGCTCTTTATGGAGCTCACTTTCAGTAGATATGAGTAGGACTGTTTATCAGTGTAACCTCAACTTTACAGGATTGTTATCAAGGGGAGGAAGGGGGGCCAGATGAGTATGCAGAAATATTACTTTGGGTATCTTTTATTGGGAATAAACTTTGGCTATTAGGAATGAAAAGGTGAGCTAAGTTTATTTAATGATAACCGCAATCTCTGTTTGCCATCACGGTTGATAATTTTGTGGAAAATGTATAACTCTGCATGTGCAATTTGATGGACAGAAAAGAAACTTAACTGAAGCTCACTGCATTCTTTAGTGTAATTTTGATCAGCAGAAAGGGCTGTAGATGGCACAAAGGTATTGGCAAGAACTCACTGCGCTTCGTTGCAGTGGAAACATTCCAGATGTCTATCCAGTCTCTATTTGTAAGTATACATTATGAATTTAATCTGACACCAACAATTAAAAAAACACCATGCAATCCAGTCTGTAAGGTTAGGCTGAAGCCAGGGTATGTGATCAGCTTTCCTCCCCCCCCCCCAGCCTTTGATTGCAATCTTAATCATAGACACTAATGTTACTGAACTCGATAGGACCTGGGAATCCTTATTGATTAATTCCTTCTCTGGTCAAGCTCAGCTCCTGATAACTACATGGACTCTTTTTTTCCCTAGGTAACAGTATGGAATTATTTTTCTACTGTCTTTTCCATGATTTTGATTTTTTTAAAGTTTTTACTTTTCAGTCTAACTTAGGGTTCTGATAGTCGCCCATCCTGGTAGTCTGAATCTGTTTAGCTGTTTTCAAGATCAGTCAAGGTTGGCTGAATGCTACAGTATTAGCACCACTAGGCGTTGTAAATTAATATAGCTAAAAATGTTGGAAGCAGAAGAAGAGTGCAGATCAGATTGTGGTTCCCATAGAACAATGCCAGGTTTCTTATATAACATTGTTTTCTCCTGATATTGCATATCTGTGTTTTCTTCTTGTGTTGATAAAGGAATAAATCCTTGATTTAAAGGATATTGTTCACGTGTATCAACATTCTGAGGCTTTTTCATTAAAATGAAAATGATTGAAAAGACTGCAGCTCCTTTTTCCTTGCCCCTGTTCCCTGCATGTAGTAAAACTGCACATTCAATCCAAGTATGAAAACCAAAAGAGGCCATTGTTTGGGGAACAGGATTTGTTACAGCTTTCATGATCTCGGCAAGAAAATTGCTGACAAACCGTGGCTTTTATGTTAGGATAGGAGCTTAAGAAAACACTGAAATTTCATTATGGTCAATGCAAAGTGAGCCTCTTTACAGAGAGCATTCCCTCACCATTTGCTATTATTTTCCAAGTGATCAACATCTGCATTGGGAGGGGAGGTGGAAAACTTGAACAAAGAACTCCAAAGGAAGTATGTGGAGAGAGACTAATCCTAAACCACTAAGATCTTTAAAACCAACAATGACAATAGGCTGTGATCCAGTGATGTTGCAAATATTGGTGTTATGTACTCCATCTCAATTAGTAATTGGAGTTTCTGAGCCATCTTCGAAGGAGACAGCAGTAGCTTGAGCAAAGATGATTGAAGGAGAGGAGGTGGTATATATGAAGCCATGTAGAAAGATGCCACAGGTCAGGGCTATTCTGCAAGCGAAATGTGAACCCTTCCTCCCCCCCCTTTTTTTTTTAAATTTCTGTTCTGAAAACCATAATAGAATATTTAAAGGGAGGCAGATAGAATGAAGCATTAGAAGGGAAAACACCAGTTCATCAAGTCATGGAAAACCCTGCTTTGGGGAAGTTGCAGAATCCTTTTCTTTTCTTTTCCTTTTTTTAGGTCTTTAAGAAAAGATTGGAAGTAGAGCAGCATTTAAAAGAGACCTTTTATAAGGTAGTAGAGTAATAGCTATTTTTCACAGGAATGTAAATATCAGGGAATTCAGCTGTTCTTGGATATTCCTGTGTCTTAAGGAACAAAGACAGCTGTTGTGAAATTTGTGAAGGTAGATGTGGAGTTGTATAAGGTTTAGAAAAGCCAGGGAGCTGTTGCATAGATCATTACATTCCTTACCCCTCCCCAATTGCCTACCGTGCCAGACAAGTTATGTAAGTTTCAAACTAGAACTAGATCTTGTATTGCTGTAGTAAGCAACTCTTCTTTATTTCATTCAAAATATTAACCTCTTCCATTCACTCTGGGAGCTGTGAGTATGAAAGCTATTATTTCCTAAAGTGTTGAATCCACAAAATGGCTGAAATGAAGAACACCATGAATAGGGTATGTTGCCTGCAACCTTAAAACTTACATCAAAGCCACATTAAATGACGACTTGGTAATCTTGGGAAATACTGCAATTCAGAAGATTTGCTAAAGGGTTTTCTTTCCAAAGCTTTTTCTGCATACAGGTATCTACCTGTCTGTCCATAGACAAGTGGATGTGTGTTGTGCTGTGCTGTGCTGGGAGGCTAACCGTTATGTGCAAATTTCCTGAGTTGCTGAATTACCCAACTTCTTTTGTAATTCTTAAAGGGCGTCAGTTGAAAATGTGTTGCTTTCATGATGAAATGCTTGTTCTCCCAACAGCTTGTACAATGAAGAGAGAAATTTGCTCCGTATCCAAGCAAAAGAAAGGCGAAATCAGGAAGCTCACCAGGAAAGAGAAGCATTCCCTGCAGATACTCCCCTTTTTGGAGAGCCTTACAAGGTATCTATAGCGTATACGTCCCTTATATCGTAGTGAGGTTATAGTTCTATATGTTCCAGTTAGGCTCCTGGTTACATGGGGATTTGAACCTTAAATTGGTTTATCCTTCACGCTAAGCCAGTACTTGGTATGGGTGGCTTAAGCTTTTAGAAACTTAAGGCATTTATTGCACCTTTTAAAAACCTTAGCACCACTGTCTGGCTAGTTTTTCCCATGAGTGTGACAGGTAGCGTAGTTGCATTAACCCTCTGTAAGGTTTACATCTATTTTATTCATGAACCATTCACCCATTTGCCCCCTGCCGCCCCCCAAGTCCAGCCAAGACCCCAGTTTCAGCCTCTAGCCTTTCCAAATTAAGAAGATAGTTTATTGCCAGAAATTGCAGGCGTATATAGACCAATGATTTATCCAGGTAGCTTGTTAAGAACTAGCCTCTTCTTTTTTTCCCTGACTCTTCTCGTCAGTGGATACAAAGGAGATGCGATAACTCTTCAGATGCATGGGCTATGGCCATTTTTGTCATTGCCACATTTTTGTTATTGTTTACAATAAATAATTTGAGGTACCTATATTTAGATTTTATTTAACTTGTAGTGCTTTTTCTTTTCCATCTACTTTTGGGTCATTGCCTCATAAATAGAAATATCTGCCTGAGGCTCTAGTACTCTTCTCTCCCTTTAGAGCAAAGTGTTACAAAGGCTGAACATGCCCTCAAAGGACTGGTAGAGGAAGTGGAGTAATTTTTGCTGCATGACACTGCAACTTTGCACAAAGAACACACTGCAAGCCGTTGTAGTTTGCAGGTTCTTAGAAAACCTGAGCTATTGCAAATTGATCACTGAGATCTTGCTCTGATGGACAAGCAGCTCTCTGGGTTTAATTCATACCTTCATGCATTATTTCTGCCATGGGTTCCTCTTTCAGTTTTTTCACTGCTTTTTTTTCTTTGGTGTCCTTTCTCATTTCAGATTAACAAAGCAGATGAATTGTCTAGTCGAATTCAGAAAATGTTTGGCAACTATGAAGAGATGAAAGAGCTCATCGTCAACCAGTTCCATCAGAATTTCATAGGGATTCCTACAAACGTCATGCCTCTGATCCCCCCACATAAACTAGATCGCCCACTCTTTCCTGAAAAGACAGGCACCTCATTCCAGAAGAACAGCCATCATCACAAACACGCGGGACCTCTTAGTTCAGATGTTCCTTCTGTGGGCAGCTCCTACCCAAAAATTCACTCAAGGGTTGAACCAGCTTCACAAAGTGCTGGATTGTCTAACTATCAGAAGCCAGGTCCAGAGAAGAGCTGCAAGACTGAAGAACTCCAAATTGGCAGATGTCAGCAGAAAAGTAAAAAATACACTGAAAAAGATACTGCGCATGAGACGCAACCCTCACTTATGGAACTTTCTCCCTTATTGTCTACATTGCCTTCCCCTGTACTGCCTCTGTCCCCTCTACATTCCGGCCAGTGTGTCACTTCCAGATCCCACAGCAGTAAGATTGAAAACCGTGGGCAAAATAGCTCCCCATCCTATGAGCTGGTGACCAGCACACATGATAATGAAAATGAGGACACCTTGACTGCTACCGTAGCTGTCAATGCTCATCCTTCCAGCCAGACATTTCCCTCATCCTTGTCATCAAAAACCAGTGCAATACAACAGAAACCCACTGCCTATGTTAGACCAATGGATGGGCAAGATCAGGCTCCAGATGAATCACCTGAACTCAAGCCACTACCGGAGGAATACAATGAACAGTCCTATGGAAAAATAACAAATTTAAAAACCAACACCAAGACCAACTTACCCAAATTGAAAATACCTGCGGAACCAATTGAGGTTGGTGTACTAACTATGTTTGGTTTGATTTTGCTTTGGCATCAGAATTAAACGAAGTTATTTGTATCATTAACACCTAATCGTAGGCTGTGCATAATCATGAGTATTATGTAGGACAGTAATCAGAATTGAATGTGCTCCATAGAAGTTCACTTTATGGAACTCCAGGACTCAAGGGGCAATACTAGGGTTTTTACCAAAGTCGGGCACTGCAGTCTCAAGACTCTGTTTCCATGGCATCGAGGCGGTGGGACCTGACCTTGACCAGATAGTTCCCAGGGTCTGAGAACTATACAGATAAGCTAGTGCTTAGTCTAAACAATCTGGGATTTTGGGACTTGTAGTCACAATCCTCAGTAGGATAATATGTACATAATGGGTGTGTTCCTGCATCTGCTGAAGGATAAATTTTGACATATTTTAAATAAAGGGAAATAGTGGCAGAGGGCAGTCTATTAGAATTGTGTTTCCCAGAATTTGAAAAATTCTGCTTATCTGAGCAAGCACCTCCATGCTCACCATCCTGTTGTGCAAGGTGGCCGAAAAGTAATGCCAAAGTAGACTTTTCACTCAATGAGATTTGTGCGTTTGTGCATACTGTTGTGCTCCTTTTTTGTGTTGGGTAGCATCTCTGGTAACTAGCAGTGTTCGAATGGCTGCCGAGTTCAGGCATTATTATTACTGTATTGTTTATAATAAAAATCTGGAATTCTTCTATATAGTTTTAGGGGAATTAAGCATCAAGAGGTTACAAACTTCCCAGATGTTTTTTTTTCTACAGTTAGATCAAATATTTTTGATCTTGTTCAGTTGTTTAGAACAGTTTCTCCCCCCTCCCCACCTTTCTTTCACAAATTACATCATCAAGGAGCGCTAAAATAATAATGAAGAACACCATGAATAGGGTATG